AGTTATTACACACAATGATTTATATAAAAATTTTTACAAACTTGCAAGCAATATAAAGTTTTCTTTCTAGTTTGAAACTTCTTCGATATCTTATCGAGGGTTCACTATGAACGAGTTAAATACGAGTTGACGTAGGTATAATTCACTTTACAGGGAGCTAGCTAGCTTTGTCCTTGTTATTCACCAGCCACACACGCCGAGTTTTCCACCGATGAAGTTAAGTAATGTTTTCGTAAAAATACTAATGTCCGATGAGAATCCAGTGAAGTTAAACGATTTGCAATGCTGGAACTTTGTAAATGCTCCTGATCAAATATCAGAAGTTTTCCGATTGATAAGCGTTATAACAATCACAGTTATAGCTTCCGAAGTTTATAGCACACTGACTATAGCAAACTAATAACAGATACTATTTTTTTGTCGCGTCACGTTGGCTATATTTATAGGCGTGTGGAGGCTTTCTCGAAATTTCAGTTTTTTGTAACAGTATTGACGCTAACACAAGCGTTTATGTACACACATATATTGTTGATTCTTACTTTCGAGAATCTTCTACAACTTTGGAGAATAGGCTGGAGTTTCTCAATACATATTTAACACTATAAGCTACGTATGTTTCTAAATATGAATTTAATCTAAAGAAACGTCGATAATAAAATAAATATATAATAATAAATCCATCACACTATCATGTAGGAGTTTTTCTGTGGACTTTACATGAAGGTAGCCTATTCGAACATGTGATATAGAAACATGTTCAAATGGCTTGCTTTTGTGGGAAAAACATGCAACTTTTTAAATTTAACTTTTCAATGTCGAGGAGTTTTCTCCTCGGAGAAAAATTCCGACATTCAAAATTACAACACTTAGCCTCGCGGGTCTCGACACTTATGGGGACGCACCACTCGGCTGTTTAGCATAGAGAAATTCGGCTTACCTAGTCTGATGTTATTTTGTTTTTCAAACTCCCCTGTTAGATGATCGGAAAGATAAAAAATATAAAGAGTTTTGTTTGTTATGAATTTCGCGTAAAGCCGTCCCTAATTTAGGGAAGGCAGCTGGTCATCAACACCCACTGCCAACTCTTGGGCTACTCTTTTACCAACGAATAGTGGGATTGACCGTCACATTATAATGCCCCCACGCCTGAAAGGGTGAACATATTTGGTGTGACGGGGATTCGAACCCGCGACCCGCAGATTGGGAGTCGAGCGCTCTAACCACTTGGCCGTGCCGGCCCAACTACAAAGAGAAAAACACATATCGCTAACACAAAGACGAGTGGTTGATTATTATAGATGGGTAAAGTCACTGTGTTACTTTCGGTTCAAGTAAAAAAAAAGGCACAAAACCCGAGTTCATAATCGCGCACAACAATGGTTGCGCTAGTCCGCAGTAGTCCTGCCTATCCTTCCAGCTACTTGGAATACTGTAGTGTAGTCGTGGACACGAAGGAGAGCGCTGCTGTTAAAACTTAAGATTCACCGATGACGTAGAAGATGTGTAAGTCTTCCGGGATCTACCTTTTTGAGAAATCTTCATGGTTGAGTCGGTGTTTTTCTGCTCTAAGATGGATAAGGATAACTCATCTGAACTTTAGGATGATTTTTCGGACAATGTCACGAGAGCATTGAAAGATTCCTCTGCATCTGGAAGCCAAGATTTGCGCCTTAGATTATCCTAGCAAGCAGAGAAATATACATGACGTATTTGGTGTTAAATATGAAGGCGAATTTTCTCCATAAAGCAACTGGCGTTACACAGTTAAACACTGCATAGCGAAAGTTTCAACACAGAAGAAACAGTTAT